CAAGATGTTGTGCAAAGTTTTCTTCTAATGCCAGTTTTACCTTGTTTCTTTGGCAGGGATGATCATATTGCAGCTTTGCTGACAGTAAGAGGCGATGCGAGCCGAGATATGAAGCAGACTATCATTGAGACTTTGGATCAAGGCCCAAGCCAACCAAATCCAAACTACGTGCCAATTTTCAAAGAAATTACAGTTCCTACTCTAACTGTGCCAAAACTTCTTAAGTAACTGACAATTTCGTGTGTCATTACTGTTCTGGGATCAACGGGTTTGAAATAACTGAGGGCAAATTTGGCAATGCTGTTTCGAGTGAAGTTCAATATACATTGACACTTGGCAGGCATGTTACTTTCTAAAGATTTGGATGTGGGAATGTGTAATCAGATTTCTGAAAGAAGATGGATGTGAAAGTCACGTTTAATGAATGAAGCATCTAATGGCCAGGGGGCTTTTTGCTGATCCATTGGTTACAGCTGTTTTTGCTGTCAGCAAATACATTTTTCTTGTGGAATAAGTTTGCACAGTGCACTACAATGCCATATAAAGGTATTTACACCAAAACCAACAGAGCTCAGCTAGTGCTGGATATACTAACATACCTGGCTTATCCTACCTAATCAGACTCCTCTTTAGAACTATCTTTATATGGCACTGCATTGAGCATTGATTAACATCCCCATCCACTTTCACCTTATACTTTGTGTATGTACTTCCTTTGGTGTAAAATAGTTTATTGGAGAAAACTTAATTATGAAACCAGTTTCCTGACTAAGGAACTGAATGAATTGCTACTGTGCAGTTTGATTATAGGGTGAATAAATAAGTCACATGAGGTACAATCTTTCTTGTCATTGAGTCACAAAAACAGCACACAAAACACCACCTGTTCAATAAAACTTTAAACCATTGCTGCCTTCACCTATGTATTCTTTGCACCCTTATAGATTTACAGCACATTTTAATCTTTTTTTGCTTGTTTGAAGTGTGAATAAACTTTGGATTTAATAGTTCCATGGAAATGCAAGATACTAGTTTATTTCCACAGTATTTTCAGATTAATGCTGAAAGCTAATTGTCAGTATTTATCTGTTCTAGTTATACAATCTTATTAGAAAATGGTGACAGGATGAAGGACACAATGAAGGCACGATCTGGTAGTACCTGAAGTAGAGCTGTCAGAGTAAGTACAAGGGAGGCACGAGCCTACATTATTCTAATGAACATTCTGGAGGTGTTACTTGTTCAGCCTGCGAACACCCAGACCCTGTGCCATTTGTCCCCTCTCGGTGACAGCTGCTTACCCAGGAGAGACATGTGCAAGGTCCGCAGTTTGGACAAAGGGCAACACAAAGATTGTGACTTTTGTCGTTGACAGGGGGAGCAACATGGAGACAGATCAAGGGTCAAGTCGGCATCTCTGTACCTAAGGAGTCACTCCGGGTCCCATGGGAACCAGTGTTCTTAGAGGGGAGGGGAAAGGAACTAGGATGATTTTTGGATAGTTATGTTAAGAACTACTGAGGAGATGCTGATTTGGCTTGAATTTCAATTTCAGTCCTGTGTTTTTTGGGCTTCTGTGGTTTTGCTCTTCTGTTTATCCGAGGGAATCGGTCCATTCGGCTTTGTCTCTCCCTATGCCCCCTCTCTCTGCCGCAGTAACCTCTTCTGCCTGCTGCGTGAAACCGGTGCTGCTTCCCCTGCGTGACAAACCCCCTCCCGGCGCCCCTCGCTCTGTCCCCGCCTGCCGGGGCGCGGGGCGGGAGCGCGCCCGGACCCTGCCCGCCCCGCTGCCCGCGGGG